TTTCACATTAAGACCATTGTGTTTCTTTTCCTGACTGTATTTCAATTTTAATACAAATTCCCTGGGTTTCAATCATTTATTTACTTCGCTATTAGAGTTTATTTCTTTCCTCAGAATACGTTTCGATGTTTTTTCTTTCTACTAAAAAAAAACACCGAAACGTATTCTGAAGAAAGAAATAAAGTCTAATAGCGAAGTAAATAAATGACTGAAACCCAGAAAACGAATCTGTATTAAAATTAAGACCATTTACATTTTCATAAAAGCTTGGGATATTTTCATTAAAGAAGGGCCGTGCATGAATCCTCTTAAATTTGATTTTATCAGGTTATTGATATTTTAGAATATGCAATTTTGACTCGCATTATATCAATATAAATTGATAGTAAGTTCTCTTGGAATTATGAATTTTCTATTCCAAATTAATGAATTTCATGAATTGAAAATAACTAGATTAACTTTCATTTTAAATGCCAACTTTCTGTATTGCACTAAAAGGTGATTTTTCATTATTCATCGGATTGAAATACAGTAGGTATTCAGCCCAAAGTTTGTACATTCGGGCTTTTACCATCCATTATGCAGGCACCTTTTTGAGTATTTTTTTATTAATTAAATGCGTCAGTACGCGAACATTTTGCCCAATTTAGCCATTTAAGATTTAATTACCTCAAAATGTGGAACGTGACGCTGTCGATTCTAGGTGGCAAACAGTATCCCTTGTGATAAGCTTTAAAAGGGGTCTATATTGTCAGGAATTAATTACACGTTCATCGCCAAACAGCCTTGTTTGCAGTTGAGCTGATATCTGAACAACACTTTATCTACACAATTATCTACTTTGCACCTACATTTTAAAAATCTGAAATAGTCATTTTACTGTGATATATGCAATGTAGAGATATAAAAAAACAGCTTACAGTTATGGGATTAATCCGCTGGATTTAAATATCAATTAATGTTTCGAAATTTACAATCAGCAACAATCTGAAGAAAGAACATCAAATATGATGTTCTTTTTCATATTTCTGCTAACTTAGAGTTGCAAGTTTTTTTTCAAGTTGCAGTTTCATTCTCACGTGAGCTTTTGATATTTGAGAAGCAACAGGTAGTTATTACTCTGAAAAACATTACTACCATTCTCCCAGTTTTGATTAAGAATTATAATGTGTTGTACGAATTATAATATAATGTACTGCCTACACCCGAGAGGAATGACGCCAATTTTGAATCACCCTGTATGTATACCTACATTTCGGGGTGTACTTCGACCAATTATTTTGTCCATTGTTCACATAAGCTCGCCAATGCTAAATCTGTGCAATAAATGTAGGTGGATAAATTCAGCAACCGCTGCTGAATTTTAAATTAATTTTCAAATTATTTGTTCGCAGAATGTGCTTCATATAAATATTGCAAATGTCAATTTCCAATCAAATATGTTTATTTTGGTTAACAGATATGGATAAAAAATGCTTATTGAAATTATTCGTATAACAAAAGCAATTGGTATTCAAAAAGGCAATTGGTATTCAAAAAGAGGAATAATTAATAAAGGAGTTCGATTACAATGAGCAATAACTGACCAATCGATTTAGTGGCAAACATTGTGCAAGAAATATGCTGCAACACCATATCAGTTACACTATTTAGAGAAAAGCGTCTTCGTTTTCATTATGTTTCCTATTGGAAAATTTGTGTGACGCTTGCGGTACGAAAAAAAATTTACATGCATGGCATATGACGCCATGAATCAAGAAAAGCTAGGGATGAAAAGTCGACATATTGAGTCACATTTCTGCAAAGATAATAATTCCACAGTGTCATCGCATAAATATATATGCTCCGACTAGTAGGTAGTAAAAACAGTGGCTGCCCTTTACCAGCTAATTTTCACTAATATTTTGATATTTATTCAACCCCATAAGCTTTGAAGTAGTGCCATTATGTATGAAACTCGATTTGAAACTGAAAAGAAAATTTTTCGTTTCTAGTAATTTTTGGAATTTTCTCTCCAGAAAACTTTTTGTTGTTGTTGTTGAAACGGTGTTTCAATTCAGAGGGGGATACTGCATGAAAAAATTTGTCGAAGTTTGCTGATCACTTGTATGACCGCAAATGATTCGTTTTCCAGACATGGGGTGTTTCAGTTTTTCTTAAAAGCTGATGATAAATTTATTTCTCTGAAAGCTGTAGAGACAGAGACATAAAATTTTCTAGGTTTTAAGGAATAATCTTTGCACATTTATTGCATGCAAAAAATAATTTTATGTTCGTCATTGTAGTGTATATAGGAAAACATCTACATTTTTTAAACAAAAAAATGATACTCCACTGAGAAATTTCAAATGAAAAATCATTTTTCAATTTTCGACAAAAAATCTGCCTTTCTTTTCGTATGAGACGCCGTTTTGATGCAAAAAAATAAAACACCATACAGCCAATTTTTCATTTCTTTAATACATTCTTAAGCACTATGTAAAACAACATCAATAAACCAGAACAACAACAGAAAATATTACTAATAAAATTTTTAACAGGAAAAGACATACTCCCAACCTGATCTGTATTTTTCAAGAAATATTTCCAACTTCAGCTAATAAACATTTGTATAGTTACACACGTATAGTTGCCTTTCCCTTTGATATTTGATATTTTTTACGTGTTTTAATATTTATTATATTAACTCCTGCCACCTCTCACAAATCGCCATCATAGAGCATTTTACACAACATTAAAAATGCCATTAGTTCATAAAATTTACTTTCAACTTGCAAAAAATAAGATAATACAATTTGCCATGAGAATAAAAAGAACAGCAAGTGGCCATTCTCGTGTAATTGGGTGCAATAAAATCCTGGGACCTTGGGATCCCTCTTAAGACGTTCAGCCCTTTAGCGATTCTTTTTTTGCCACACAGCGCCTAATGTCGATAATCAGACAAAAAATCAATCAGCACTTATAAACGGGACTTTTTGTCAGTTGCCAGTAATTGAAAGCAATTTCATTTATTTGCTTCCATAATCAATGTTTTTCTTAACAACGTTGCAAATAGAAACAATTAAATATATTAAGACCTTCACTTAATTAGTGTACAAATTGCTTTTAAATTTTTGTTAGATACGTATTAGTTGGTACACAATGATTTCGAACTATAGCTAACGTATATGAATTAATAGTTTTATTGTACCATTTACATTTGTAAAAATGCTTATTTACTTAACTCGCTTGAGCGTTGCCTTTCCAAATTTGGGTGCATGTTTTGCATAGGAATTCTTCATAAATACTAACTCAGTTATAAAAACCATCAATTTTCTCGATTCCTTTTATGTTTAAATTTTCACTTATTTAAAAATACATTTTATATTGACCAGTTCTAAAACGTTATTTATTTTTATGTGCAAACTTTCACCCTGATAATGTTGAGAATTTCAACAGGCAGGCTTCGATATTAAATGAGACATTTAGTGTAAGGAATGGCTGTGGCCTTAACGAAAATTAGTATGATGCTGACATAACGCTTTTGGCAAGCTGCTTTGTCATGAATTCTTTATCGCTTTTCACTCCACTAAATATAATAATTTAATAATACAATTGTATTAAAGTCAGATGAACCTGTTCTATGAAATTGCTACCTCAGCTATTTACGAGTGCAATTCAATGTTGAGTTTTGTCTGTTTTTATGGTTTCCTATCTTTGTCAAATTGTCACATAATACATATTATATACCTTGGTCGAGAAGTAAGCTATTATGTACTGAGCACTCTTGAATGCTGGGCGCCGAAGGATATAATATGCGAGGTATTAAATAGCCTTCTCAGCCCGGAGTAAATAATGGTGACTGTTCATCTTAGTAGTAAAAAAATATGTATTCTTTTACTACATGTCAGTCAACTTGAGTTTCTTTCTACTCATCTGGAAACTGTCTCCATTAAAATCTTGATGATTTCCCAGGACACTGGGCTTTTCCCTAACTTGAGTGAGTTTATTGCGATCAAAATTGTCCGGATTGAGTGCAAAACATCCCGCAAAAGGTTCTCTCTTAACCATAGAGCACAAGCAAGCTAGGATTGAGTTTGCTCGAGAACACGTGGACTGAGATTTGGATGACTGTAAGAAAGTCTTGTTTACTGATGGGTCAGAGTGGGTTTAAAAGATTCGGATGAGCGAGCTGTAATTTGGATAAGATCAAGAGAAATATACAGCCAAGCAGCGGTTCTCCAACTGGCTTTCCGTGGTGGCTCAATAATGTTTTGGGGTGGCATTTCTTTGGAGGCCCGTACGGACCACATTATAGTTTTTATTATTTGTATTGGATTGACCTAAGATCCTCGATAGACTGGAATAAAGAGGAAAATTCCGATCAAATGATGTTCTAATTTCAAATACAATCTCGAGTTGGCTGTCTTAAAGGCAATTTATTCCTCTGTACATATTCTTAACAATATATTTATCAAATTTTTATCATTTCATATTGGACATCGGGGATATACATTTATTATAAGTTCTATGTAAATCAACTTATTAATATTTTCTCTGATGCGTTTTGAACTTTAAGTATTTTTTCATTCAAATCGAAGTAATACAACGCAAATATAAAATCAGCTTTATCATCGATATTGAGAAAGTTAGAGTTGGTGATTATATTTCAGTTATTTGTTTAACGATTATTTATTTTTATACCATAGTGTTTCAAACCCACATCTAGAAATACGTTTGAGTAAAGAAAAGATTTTGCCTTAAATGTCTAAAAACAATCAAATGTATTTTGGGATGCGCATCCATGCTTTATTAAGGAAATTAATTTATTGTGGGTTTATATTTTCGTAGCAACATATAGATTAACCTGTACATATCAGTGTAAAAATTGTACATAGGCTACCAATTGTTCTTTTACCGTATATTGATGTGTTTGTTCATAATTTAGTTATTTGCTAGTACAGTTATTGAAATAATGCATTAAATATATTATGGTATTTTAAGAACTGTTGGTTTTGCAGGTAGATTTGAGGCACATGGACGAAAAAGCTGGAAGCAATATCGTAGACGTTGGAGTAGATTTATCCGAATTTTACATGTCAGTCGAATGGGATATTTTAGAAGTACCAGCAGTGAGGTACGAAAATTCCTAGATATTAAAATTTGGTGTCCCAAAACATGTTAATTTTACAGGAATGAAAAGTTTTACACGTGCTGCGACGAACCCTATTTGGATATCACCTTCAACATTACAATGAGGAGGAAAACGTTATTTTATACAGTTAACATAATCATACCGTGCATGGGAATCTCGTTTCTGACAGTGCTGACTTTCTACTTACCTTCAGACAGTGGGGAAAAAGTAAGTACGGCAATGTGAAAAATTTAGCGCCTGTTTATTTCACTAAACTCAATTGAACAAATTAATTTAATTGATTTCAACCGGTAAAAAACTGGATGGAGACACATTTTTTGCGCCCTTTGGTCAGCCGAGCCTGTGCTAAACAATCCGGGATTAAAATTACAAACTACATATAAACCAATTAACAACATACACAATCACAATTCATAATATGTTTGCAGTCAATAAGCCAATAGGGCCGTAAAAACATAATATAATTCAAGCTTTATTGCATATAAATACACAATAAGAACCACACCTCGGCTTGTGTCTTATGGAGTTGTTTTATCAGTGTATTTTTTTTGTTTTGTGGATTATTGTGGAAAAAGAATGATTAATAATTTGTAAAAGCACAATCAGATCTTACTATTGGTAGATTCGTTGATAGTGGCTGAGATTTTAAATTTAAGACAACCGTTAAGCAGCGTGATAATTGGGTTACTTAAGTTTAAGTAATTGCTTTTTACAATTTGCTGGCAAATGCTTGAAGAGCCATTGGAAATCTAGAAATATTTAGCTGATTTTCCGAATCTAGATCTGATATGAGCAGCTGAAACGAGAAGCTGATATCTGCATAGTAAAATGTAAAATATGTCCAGAGTATGGAGTTCGTTCGAAGAATTATTCCATTGTCATGAATAGGAGAAGCAAATAATGAAAACAGAGTGTTCGGCATCACTAAATAAAAAGTGAAAAGACACTATCGGTTTTAAGTGGTTTGTATAGGGTCATTGGTTATAACTTATAATCACATAAAAATAAACAATAAATTATATCGAGGAAATTATATTAAAAAATATATAAGTAAGACGATATCAAAGTCGAGTGTAGTGAGGTCAGCAGTCCAGCAAGTGCTACCAAAAGCCAAAACGACGCGCTAAATAGAAATTCAAATTTAAATGGCTTATAACTTCCTTGAAAGTAAAGCAAAATTGGAGAATCATGTAGAACAGTTAGTTGACGATAAAGTTTGAACAAAATTAAGCAAACAAAGAATTGTGCAAAGGCCCTATTGTAAATGTATTTTTGGGCGCTAACTACTTATCCCTGGTGTTTAAACTCGCTAATGAAAGAACTCAAGCCTTGTAGCATACAGATCTCGTTGCAATGAACTGGTCAATAATTATCTTGACAACAAGAAAAGCAAACAGGTTTATCGGTTTCTTTTAACTTGATATAAATTGTCGAACTAAAAATCGGGGTCGAATGATGGAATGATAAAGTAAATCGAGGAAACCATATTATGACAAGCGGAGAGTTTCATATTTATGGCACATCAAATTGGAAGAGAAAATGATAGATGAGCTTTTCCGAAAACCCTAATATTTTTAAGGATCTCATTTTTTATCCTCCGAAAAATGTCAGCACGGGAATAATATTTTGAACAGTTCCCCACTCTTCGTGCGGGGAAATAAGTCACCTCTAATCTTCTAAAAAAACGGACTTTTCAGATTTTATAGTACTGAGTTTCAAAGTTGCAAAGTTTGTGTATTGTTAGAACTTTTCTCTCTCGGAAAAATTATTGGTTTTAGTTTTAACAAATGTCAAAAACACTTCGATTCTCAGTGCTATTATCTTAATTTCGAAGTGTAGTTGCTTCCATCCATTAGTTTACAACCAAAGGGCATTTCAGTTTTACGTTACATTATAAATTCGAACTAACTTTTGTTGTATCTAATGAAATATAGTACTAAAAAATAATAATAACCAAGGCTAATATTTAAAAAAACATAAACTGTCTCAAACCGTCGAGCAGTACGCGCACGGAGAATGCGAATGCAAATCGTCATTCAATCCGGATATCAAAAATTAGTTATTGAAACTTGTGATTTTTTTCGAAGTGAAATAATGAATTGGAAATCAATTGTTTAAACTATATGTTCTTCCTATAATTCAACGTTTTTAATAGTGTAACCGAATCTCGTAATAATTTTTTTTCAAAATGTTCATAATCTTCCACAAACAACTGTCTTCATTTTACTCGTGGTCTTAATGTCTACTTATGGTAAACGTGCTATAATATAGCCGTGCTGTTTTACATACAAATAAACGCTGATCTTACTAGTTTCCCCATATTAGCTCTAATCCAATTTCTGCTGTTAATGGAACAGCCTTCATATGCTCATATTATCAAATAAACATGTTTTTATTGGAAATGCACAGAAACGCTGATATTTTTGCATAAACCAATCACAACAAAAAGCTGAAAATGGCATCAGCTTCCAAAAAATATCTTGCGTATAATCAAATACTCCAACAAACTCTGCAAAAGTAAATTCGAATCATTACTCAACTCGACTCGCTGTTTACTTTTACTAGAGCACAACTTTGTAAGTGACACGACATAAAATGGAATACAAAATAGAATTAGGAAATGGAATTCTATTGTTCTACAAATTTAATTTCTTTGAGTGTTGGATCAACTGTGGATTCATACTTTTATTTAAGAACATTTGTAATTTTCAGGAATAAATCACAAATTTGTATGTGATCAGTTACTAAACTTACTAAAGTTATTAACTTTAATAAAAGCAGTAGGCCACTGCGTGCAGCTAGTTTCGAGTTTGAAAGTATTACTGACGATGTCCCGATTTCTCCTGGGTGTTGAATCAAGACTTTTTGATCACCACTAACTAAATGTGTCTCGTCACAAGGTGCTGTACTTTTATATGCTTCTCTCCATGTTTGAGGCACGTGGTGAACCCTTGCATAGAGAATTATTACTTTCCAGGAAGTCGGAAAATAGCTAAAGTTATGGCAGCTACCCAACAAAACCAGTCCAATAGATTGTCGTCAAATTGGGTTATTGTATACTTATTTTGTTTGGCACCAGTGTCTCAACATAGTCAGTTTTGTTTAAAGAACCGCTGTTGGAAGCCACAATAAGCTCGCCTGAAACTCAGTTCACATTGAAATGTATGGGAAGCTTGTAGATACAAATATGTGGTTTTTCATAATTACTTCGCTACTTCAAGGATTCTCCAAATGTAGATTATCAGGGGAATTTATATCCCTTGTTGCAATTTTCTCTTAAATAATTCATTGCTATGATTACAACCCCCGAATGCCCGTTTCACATTAAACTCTGAAGTTTGAATTAGATAGACTGTCCCTTTAGGCTAAGTGCTCAGTGTTTCAGCTACTTACTTATTTATTGCGTTTGCCATTGATTTTCTACCTTTCTAGCTCCACTCGTTTAAAGGGAATGAGATACATTGCTTAGTTAGCAGTTCATAGTGCTCACGTATTCCGCACATTTTATCCGAAATTGCCCTTTCATTTTAAAACTTTATAAGTAACGAAACTAAAATGTAAATATTAGGAAAATGTAAACCCGTTTGAAATTAGTTTTTAGGAATATTAATTGTATTAATAACAATAGGAATTGTAACACAAATAAGATTTTTGTTAACGATATCTGTATGTCATTAATAAAAACTATTGCTATAAAGACTATTATTTTACTA